GATCAATCTAAGTCCAATCCACACTCACTAGCGACCACGCCTTCTGACCGATACTATCCGCGCTATCATGCTCCAAGATGTCGGAGGTCCCGTTCCCCCAAACACTGACCATGTACGTGCACACCCCAAGTTGCCTCTCTCCGCCCCGCCAAACAGCTCTGTCATGGTCCAATCATGGGATGACGTACGGAGTTGATTCCGATAGCAACATACGTTTGAATATTATTGTCTTTCCCTGGAGATTGCGAATTTTTAAATCGACAAGGGCTTTCGTTCTTGGAGAAGCTGACCCAAAGTCCAGGCAGTCAGTGTATCACTTCCTACGTGGAGTGCCAATGTAGCCTACGAAGAAGGAGAACCCTGGATTGTGAGAAAGATGAAATGTGGCTATCCTCGCTTCTTCATTCATCCCATCATTCAGGAGCTTGCGAGGGAAGTTGTAAAACTTCATGGAAATACCGAAACAGAAGCGGCTTCGTTGTTCCCGTCACCCAAGACTGCAAGCGTATGCCGGTCATTCATTATTTCGAGGATTCCCTCCCAAGAATCGCCAAGAATCCGTATTGTCAACTTCGTTCCTGCCCCTCACACAGAGTCCCGGCCACAGACGATAAGGTCGCCTCTATCGTGTGTGATGTACCCAACAGAATACGCTTCTATCGCCCAGCAAGTATGGCAACACAGTGGAAATGGAATATCCAGTCGTCGGGGCGAGTTTTGTCTAAGCGCGCTGCGAGATGGATTCCTTGTGGAGGATAAGGAACCTGCACAAATTGAGCAATCGTCACAGAAATTTTCCAAAGGTCCGCGGCGATATCAGGGAAGAGGATCAGCGAATGGTATAGTTCGGAGTGGTGCAGTCGCTGCCTCGGCCCCTGACTTGTCGACGGAGAATATTGAAACTCAGGACGGCCGTGAATACGTTCAATTTATCGAGGAGCGCTTCGGCAGGAACTTGAGCGTTTTACTGGCTGATCAAGCAAAGCAAGCTGTGCGCAGACGAATCGCGGGCGTTCTCACTGCTAATGTCGATCTAAGTGAGGCTCTTGATGAAGCATCAAGAGAGGGTAGAGTAGCAGGGTTGACAGATTCCGATGTTTTTCTCTTCCCAAGTGGTATGAGTTCAATCTTCAATGCGCACCAGATGCTTCTGGCCGCCAGAGGTCATTTGAAAAGCATTTGCTTTGGATTCCCCTACATAGATACCCTGAAGACGCTTGAGAAATGGGGTCCTGGTTGCCTGTTCTATGGACATGGTTCCTCTGGAGACCTAGACGATCTGGAATCCCGACTAGAGGGTGGCGAGAGATTTCTTGCGCTTTTCACCGAGTTTCCGGGAAACCCATTACTCAAATCTCCTGATTTGAAGAGAATATATACTCTTGCACAGAAATATGACTTTGCAGTGGTAGTGGATGAGACAGTGGGCAACTTCTTGAACATCAATGTGCTTCCCTATGCAGACATTGTTGTCAGCAGTCTGACAAAGGTCTTCAGTGGAGATAGCAATGTTATGGGAGGAAGTGCTGTTATCAATCCACATGGGCGCTCTTATCAGGAACTGCGAACCACTTTCAGCCGTGAGTACGAGGATAATCTCTGGGCAGAAGACGCCGTTTTTTTGGAGAGGAATAGCCGAGACTTTGTGTCTCGAATCGAAAAGATAAACAAAACCACCGAACTCATAACAGCCTTGCTAAAGGAATCCCCCGTCGGTGAGCAATCCAACATCCTGAGTCGAATTCTTGGTTCCATTCTGACGCCTTGTTAGTGAAAGATGTTTACTACCCTAAGTACAACACTTCAAGAGGTTTCTACGACGACTTCCGTACCCCCAATGGTGGGTATGGTGGTCTATTCTCCGTCACCTTCCACTCTGACGCTGAAGCAATCGCTTTTTTCGATCACCTCGAAGTTCTCAAAGGCCCTAGCCTTGGAACAAATTTCACGCTCAGGTGAGTGTCCATATACGCCCCCACTACTCGTTCTTCTGGCAAGCTTTGGCTTACGCATCTGAACCAGTTCGCCATATACGCTACTCGCACATTACAATGAGCTCGACTGGGTAAGTATTGCATCGTTCGCCCCAATTCTCCTTCCGTGGTTTGATGTTTCGCTCCCTTCCCCTGGATTAGAGCCCTCCGCTTACTGTCCATTGCAGGCTGCTTCGTTTGGTGTCGAGTCGAATTTGGTGAGAATAAGCGTGGGTTTGGAGGATGTATCGGATCTCCGCGACCAAGTCCAGCGAGCCCTCGCAGCAGCCGCAGAAGCGAAGGCTTAAATCAGTACTGATTTCTTGGATTTTGAAGCTCGGTTATCTTGGTAACGGGTCTACGGTCTCGCTCGGCAATACCTACGAAACGGACTCGTTCTCTACTGCTATTGCTGCCTATCCGCCGGCAGAAAAGAATTTAATCAAAATCAGTGGCCGTATTGCGGCGATTAGTCAAAGGCCTGAAAGTGGTTGGCATTGCATAATGATTGATCGGCTTGTGTGCGATGGCATCGTCGACGTTGAAACTTGTTGGGGCCTATATATTTCGAGCGAAAATGACGTCCATTCTAGTATCCATTCAACGTCATAAACGTTCAGCAAAGAATGCAGGACGGAACGAGAAGCTACTCGCTATCACAGAGATCAATAAGCTTTCCTTAGAAATATATACGTGAATAGATAAACCAGATCCCCGAGGATTTGCCTTTCCAATAAAAATCAAGGCAACAAGGTACAAAAAAGCCCACGCAGATATTTCAACATCTTGTTTGATCGTTAGCATCCTCGCCATGGTTTTGATTTTGAAAATCAGTTGCCTTTGGCAATGATCAGTTCCTCGCTACCTGTTCGTCTCAACGCCTGTCGCATCGTCTCTATGTTAAACTCGCCACGGACGTTAGGGGAGATTGGCCTTTGGACGGCCAACCGCGGACTACCTGCGGCGAAACTTTCCCTACTTGAAGAAAGGTCCGATGCCTTGATCGAATTCGGGGTGCTAGTGACCGGACATGTATCCAATTCATGAAGAAGCCTTGGGGAACGTAATGGCGATGGAGAGCTGTTTCGCATTGAGGGTGACTGGTGAGAGGATCCACGACTAGACAGAAAATCGGTAGCTTCCGCATGTTCAGCATTGACGACATCAGCGAATGATACGAAGCTCAGCCTTCGTACATTAGTACTTTCCAGAGCCTTGCATGGCGAATGAGGCTCTTCCAAATCCTCGGAACCATCTCTAACGTGCTCAAAACACGAAGATGGCAGCGAGGGCTCTACAGCGAAGGCACCACAAACTCCCGCTGGAGCAGATTGGTGGACGTTACGTGTGACGATCTCGACTGTATCTGGGCTAAGACGGTCGTCGGTGATTGCGACAGAGGATGCCTCCAGTACAGGGGGAATATGGTTTTCCATACTTATATGTGAAGGGATCGAGGGTGAAGTATGCACTGGTAACAGATCTTTTTGCACGTCGCGCTCAAAGATTGAGGACGACGACAAGATCGGAATCCCTGAGCCTGACTGATCTATGCAATCTGGTGAAGCCGATCTGGAGAGATGTCCCGATGTATATGATAGGCTAGGGTACATGTCGGACGACTTGGGGCGCACATCAGCAGCTGACACATGTGTACCCGGTAGGGTGGCCGAAGCTATCTGGTCACCATTTTCAATCTTGCGGTCTTCTCTTAAGTTGCGCTGGCGTTCCGATTCGATCCGGCTTTGGTCAGTGACATTTGATTGGAACTTGTCGACAGATGTGTCCTCGATATCTCCCCGTTGGCCTCGTGGAAAGGTTCTTAGTGGCTCTTCATTTAAGTGACTGCTCCCTCGGCGATAGATTATCGAGTCTGGATAATCCTGCGTATCCATGGCATGGGGGCAGACCTGTACTCTTTGCCGAAATGAGGTAGCCGTAACAGCTTCGCACATCACTACTCCGGTGCTAAAGGTTCGAACACCTTGCTGAGCGCTTTCTGCGCAAGTGTAGGGCTCCCCAGGAAGCTCCTGATCCTTTAGAGATACACTAAGCTCCCTGATTCTTTTATGCCTTTGGCTCCAAGTGGTGTCATATAAAGTGAAATATTTTTGCACATTTAGCAATGAATCAACCAGATTCGGAGCTACTTGCTCCCATGTGATCAGCAGGAGAGCTGACGCGTGCAGAAACGTAACCAAGCTTAGTAGGCGTTGGAGACGAGAAATGAAGATGTTGCATCAAAATACGTTGAGGAGGTGAAATAAGATAAGGTTCGCAAAACCTAGAGTGAAGTTAGGCAGGTCGGATGATCTGAGTTATTAAGATGGTCGGGGGTATGACGTTGACCCTGTTATCTGACAGATTAGAAAGTAGGCTGGCTCAACGAACATGGAAACATAAACATCCGTTCAAAAAGCAATATTGCGATAAAATCATTTTGAAGCAACCCGATACAGATAAATCAGCTCGAGGAAGGCCATTGTACGGTAGCAGATTATCAGTTGGTAATAAGTCGTGGTCGAGGCCGAGAGAGCGACAAAGAGCATGGCATAGATAAAGGGATGGATGCATCTAGACGGGAGCTTTCAGGTGGAAAATGACAGTACTTAGAAAAAGAGGTAAGATACGGAGTACTCCGTATTCATAGGTAACATCTTAGCTTACCTCCATACCTTAGGTACTTTGTTTACCGTATAATTACCCAGCCAGGGCCACCCCCAAATTATTCGGCTGTCACGGGACCTTCAATAATTCGGAAAAATGTTGGCATTTCATCTCAAACCGAACTTTGAGATTCCGTCCTTTCGTAACTGGTCTAGGTTGGATGCACCGAAACATTACTTAAACATTGACTTGAGAGGCAGTATGTCCATTTGATGTTCATTTCAAGCACATCTTCCTTCGATTATTGTTTCCCGCTTAATTGATTGTGTTCTAGGTTTCCGGCACCAGGGTCAAATTCAATCGCCATTTGCCTGTATCGCTTAGATATTGGGAACCATTCCCAAGCATCCAATTCCCACAATGGCAACTTTCAGTGCTGTTTCGAAGAGGCCATTCATAACCTTGCCGTTTCTAATACCCTCGTGCGAGCCGGTCGTTCTAGAGTTGCGCCGAAATCAGTCTTCATACAGGCGTACGAAACAACGTCTTCGCGTTAAGCCGGATGCCTCTTTTGGTTTCTCTTCGGATCAATCTCACATTATCTTCAATCCTCCTTCGAGCGCTCCGTCTGTCTTTCATACGCCGACGAAATTTCTTCCCCCTGATGATGCTCGGAGAACCCTCCGCACCGACGCGTCAATGAAAAGTGATCAGAACCCCGAAGATCTTCCTCCTGTATTCAATTCGCCAACAGAGAAAAAGTATCACCTGACTCCGTCTGATATAGAGGAAATCCGCAAACTCAGACTCAGCGACCCTATGACTTGGAGCAGGTGGAAGTTAGCCAAGCGATTTGACTGTTCTCCGATGTTCATCGGTATGGTCTGCGAAGCCAGTCCTCAGAAGAAAGAAATTCAGAGACAGGTCTTGGAAGCTGTCCAGTCGAGATGGGGTCTGAAAAGACGGATGGCCAGAGAAGACCGTCAATTGCGGAAAGAATCCTGGGGCAAGGATGAATGAATATTGAATAGTACAAATTCTATGCTGTATACAAAGACTTAATTTATTATGTCCCTACTTTCTTTGATCCCCTCACTGTGCTTTTTCCATCAATTTTGATGTGTTTGTCTGATTCCAGATGTATTATAAGCATAGCATGGGTGCTGTAACAAAATTTACCATATTTGCATCTGTTCATAATACGGCTATAGTTATTCAAGCTTTCCAATTTGTTTTGCTATTTTTCAAATAATAATAGAATAGAAAGTGAAATAACCGAGTTAATCCGCTCTGTCTGTTCGATTCGGACTGCGGTTCGCCTAGTCGCGGCAGGGAAAAAAAAGAGGTCGCGTAGTGAGCGAAGATACCTCGATTTTCGGCTCCACGTTTAGGTAACAGCTCTCCAATAATCATCCAATAATGATTCATCCGACAAACCATAGGTGATTCCTACTGTAGCCGCGCAAATGCCCCTCCCTCTCCGTCGCATTGCAACGTCCCTGGCAGACCAAACTCTTCATAAGCTCTACAAAGGATATCCTCAATCTGTTATCAAAAGAAAGTGCTGGGGATCACAACTTAGCTGTCCAAAAACGAACAATACATACTCTCGCCGATCCACTTACGGAAACATTAGTGACCAAAAAATGGCGCCGCAACTGGAACCATTTTTCACGCAGTACGTTTGTACTGTCTGGAATTTTTGTGGAATATTTTATAGACTGATATCCAAAATGTGAATTGTTTTCAGGGTTGATGAATTGTCAAACTCTTTTATCGACCGTATGGCCCTTCGGTTTGATTCCCACTTGACACATACTGACTAAAGCCAAGGGTTGCGAAAGGCTGTCGCGATTCCATCTATTTCTGCGCATGATGAGAACAGGAAGGATGTCTTCAGGGTAAGCAGTGCAGGAACCATTACTAGAGACGGACTGATAACGTGTTGTTCGATCTGAAAAGATGGCGCATTTCCTTGCCTCCGAACTAGAGGCACTTGGAGCCGAAGTTGAACAAAGACCCTTGGGTAAACAACCAGGCAAAGAGCATCTTGACCTTCCCCCCGTTGTCATCGCTCGGTATGGCAACGATAAAACCAAGCGGACGATCTTAGTCTATGGTCATTATGATGTGCAGCCTGCCCTCAAAGAAGATGGCTGGGCTACTGAACCTTTTGAACTGTCTATAGACGATCAAGGCAGAATGTTCGGCCGTGGAAGTACAGACGACAAAGGTCCTGTTTTAGGTTGGCTGAATGTCATTGAAGCCCACCAAAAAGCCGGTGTCGAGCTGCCTGTCAACCTTCTCTGTTGCTTCGAGGGCATGGAGGAGTATGGCTCGGAAGGTTTGGAGGAGTTCATTCAATCCGAAAGCAAGAAGTTTTTCAAGGACGCAGACGCTGTTTGCATCTCGGACAACTACTGGCTCGGCACTGAGAAGCCCTGCCTGACATACGGTTTGCGGGGTTGTAACTATTACTCCATCAGTATTTCAGGTCCCGCCCAAGACCTACACAGCGGTGTTTTTGGTGGTTCTACCCATGAGCCGATGACGGATATGGTGAACATCTTGTCGAAACTTGTTGATCCTCAGGGCAACATCTTGATTCCTGGCATTATAGACCTGGTTGCGCCCCTCACCAAAGAGGAAAACTCATTGTACGGCAAGATCAGCTATACGATGGACAATCTCCACGAGTCGCTAGGTAGTAAGACGAATATTCATGCAACAAAAGAGAGAACACTCATGGCAAGATGGAGATACCCATCCCTATCTATCCATGGCATCGAGGGTGCATTCTCCGCCCCTGGCGCCAAAACTGTTATACCAGCGAAGGTTATCGGGAAGTTTTCCATTCGAACCGTTCCAAATATGGAAAGTGAAGATGTGAACAAGCTTGTGTTCGACTACATCAAGGCGGAATTTGCCAAGCTGAATAGCAAAAATACTCTGGACGTGTGGCTTCAGCATGATGGAAAGTGGTGGGTTGCTAGCCCCAAACATTGGAACTTCACCGCTGCAAGCAGGGCTGTTAAGCAGGTCTTCGGTGTAGAACCTGATATGACTCGTGAAGGCGGCAGGTACGTACACTATTCGGGTTTTACTTTCCAAAGTTGACTACTACATCGCGATACATCGGCTAATATCGACATAGCATTCCTGTTACCCTAACTTTTGAACAAGCAACAGGAAAGAATGTATTACTCCTGCCGATGGGTAGCTCAACCGACGCTGCCCACTCGGTCAATGAGAAACTGGACAAGAAGAATTACATCGAAGGTACCAAATTACTTGGTGCTTATCTGCACTACGTTGCGGAGGAGCCCGTCGGCGAAGTCTAAGATCGTGGTAACCCATCTTCACGCTGAGGACCACGCTCGTTTATGGTATATTGCAATGTATTCCTGACTACCATTGCCTCTTCCACCGTTGGCATCTTGGTCTTCTGCGCACGAAATGTGGTCTCTCAGACTGAATTACAATTCTGGATCCTGTTCAACCCTCTAGCAATATAGGTGCATTTCAGCTGTCTTGGTTTACTCAGGGTAGCAGAACATTCAAGGCTGTGGGAGTCAACCTTCCTCTCATTCACGAGTTGTCCATTGCAAACCCCTATTTGAGGCTAGCCTCTACGTAGCAGGCAAGTCAGACCGCCAATAAAAGTGGCAGGATCTCATTGTCTCTATCTACTCGTAGTAAGATGTACCTGTAGACTTCCCGCTTGCTCCACGTCACTTGACCCGATGGAGATAAATTTCGGACTTAAGAATACCGTTAACAAGACACGCGACGCGACTCAGCAATAGATGCTAATAATTGTGCTGGGCTCCATTTTAAGGCTCGCATTCGGTATTTCTCAACGCACAGCCGTGTCCCGCTTTGGCAAATACTTTGCAGCAGAAAGACACGATGTATCGCTAGACGAGCATGATTGAAATTTCGTGACCAAAACCTTATCCGCTCCTTGATGATGGCATCTGCGAAGCGCTTACAGGCGTCTCAGGACCCTGAAAGCTTCAATGATGAAGGCGGCGGCACATCTCCAACGTCCACTTCGGTAAGACTATCAATAGATGTTATATATTCAGCAAGTTGACGTGATTATACAGCGCAAACGTATTCGTAGGTTTGAAGCGTCACACTCGGAAGAAGACATCGAATCAAACGATGCTGCGACAAGGAGTTCTTGTTCCATCACCGAGGCTCTGGATGATGACGAGGATGAATTGGAGCTGCGTGCTACACAAGCAATTCAAGAGAAATACTCTTTCGCCAATGAAGAACCGAATATCCCTGCTGAGCACGGTATCCTTGAGCGCGTCGAATGTTATAATTTCATGTGTCACGATCATTTCCAAGTCGAATTGGGCCCATTGATAAATTTTATCGTGGGCAAGAACGGTAGTGGAAAGAGCGCTGTTCTCACTGCCATAACTCTCTGCTTGGGTGGTAAAGCTTCTGCGACCAACCGTGGACAGAGTCTGAAAAGCTTCATCAAAGAAGGGAAAGAGTAAGTCGCATCTTGCAATATGAACTGCAGGTTTCTAACTATGTTTCCCGCTAAAGAAGTGCAACTATCGTCGTGCGACTCAAGAACCAGGGTGATGGAGCCTATATGCCTGATGACTACGGAAAATCAATCATAATAGAACGTCACTTCTCCAAAAATGGCACGAGTGGATTCAAGATCAAAGCTGAAAATGGGCGTATAGTTTCCACTAAGAAGGCAGAGCTTGACACAATCATTGACTACTTCACACTCCAATTTGATAACCCCATGAACGTCCTCTCACAAGACATGGCTCGCCAATTTCTCAGCACGTCTAGTCCTGCTGATAAGTATAGGTTTTTCGTGAAGGGCGTTCAGCTGGAGCAGTTGGACCAAGACTACAGGCTTATCGAAGAATCTGCCGATCAAATTGAAGAGAAGTTGAGAAACAGAGAGCAAGACATCAGGATCTTAAGAGATCTAAAAGATACAGCGGATCGCAGATTGGAAAAATCAGATCAGCAGGAATCACTCAGAAGACGCATTAGGAACGTTCGGAACCAAGTGGCCTGGGCTCAGGTTGAGGAACAGGAAAAGGCAAGTCAGATAGCTTGTAGGGCCTGCATTCCTATGTCTAACAAACAACTAGTTGAGAGACTCCTTGGAGGGCGAGCTCGCGCGGACAGACGGAGAGATAGCAACTGCTGAGGCTCAACTGAGCGTATTTGACGTCAATATACAGGACACAGAGTGTGAATTTGCGGCTGCAGCGGAGTTCCTCAACCAAGCTACTTCCAGGCTCGATCAAGCCCAGAGCGAAAGAAACGAAATAAAAACCAAACTGGAAGAACAATTAAGCGAACGCCATGACCTACAGGTATCCTCACTATCTGTCGTACGCCTGACATTTCTCAGCTTCTGATCATCTTGCGCAGGCCGAACAACGTCAAATCAAGGAATATCTCAGAACCACAGAGACAAGGATTCGCGAAACTCAGCATCAGATTGCTGACGAAAATCGGCGCCTGGCAGACCTTAGTGGCGGGAGCTATTCTCGAAAAGAGGAACAAGTCCAACAAGCAAAGACCGAGGCCGCTGAGATTCGGAGACAGTGCGAAGAGCACCAACAGAGTGCTCGTCAGCTATACCAAGAAGCCGAGGAAGCCGAGAATGCAGTCAAATTGGCTGCCGCTCCTATAGACAAAATGAAGGCTGAGGTCGACCAGGCAGAGTCCAACTTACGGAATCTCAATAGGGAAGGAATCAGACGTACAGGCTTTCATGAAAGGATGCCAGCACTCCTTAAGGAGGTAGAAATTGAACGGTCCTTCTCCAGGAAACCTGTGGGCCCCATTGGAAGTTACGTGAGCTTGTTGAAACCAGAGTGGTCATCTATATTGGAGAACGCCCTTGGCACCACATTGAACAGCTTCATTGTGACCTCGAGGCGAGATATGAACATTCTTTCACACATTATGCAGAGGGTTGGCTGGTAAGCGATTTCAGAGCTCTGTGCCAGGTGGGTTTGACT